CCCTGGGTATGATCCAGTCAAGTTGTTCTAAGATTAATGGCCACAATCCACTACATCAGCTTTACAACCAGAACCATCTCAAAATATACTTAATCTTCAAACAAAGACAATAGCAAGTTCATAATTCTGCCTCACATAATACAACTATCCTGAACACATCCTGAAAGTACTAATTGCCTCCCAAAAGTCTCAACATTTTTCAAAAGCCCAAGTCCAAGTCTTTTCTGGACTCAAAGTGAACTCTTAGCTGATAATGTCTGTAAAAATAAAAGAACAATGTACATAATTCCAAGGTATATTCCCATTACAAAATACAAATAGAAGATAGAAAAAAAAATTTGACCAAAACAAGACTGTAACCCAGTAGGGCAAAAATCTAGTTCTGTAGCTCTGTATATGGTCTCTGGGCCACATGGTAATAAGTTGTAGGCCCCAGAGGGTTTGGACAGGCCCAACCCCACAGCTTTGTTGGCTGTAGCACCATCCAACAGTCCTCTTTAGGGCTGGTTCCATTCACTGCCTGCAACTTTCCTCAACAGATGTTCCACACTCCTGGAACCTCCAACTTCCTCGGGTCTCCTTCACTTCCACAGCTACTTCACACACTGCCCACTTAGAGGATCATTGCCTGGTGTTATCGTTTGTGTCTAGGTGTCCCTCCAAATCCTCATGTACTTTTAGACAGGGCTTTTTTTTTTTTTTTAAAGATTTTTTTTTCAATTTATTTTATTTATTTATTTATTTTACATTTATTTAGTGTGTGTGTGTGTGTGTGTGTGTGTGTGTGTGGCCAGCTCAGCCCACCAGGGGGCGGGGCTGGCTGGCATGTGGTGCTGGGGGATCGAACCGCGGTCCCTGTGCATTGCCAAGCTTGTTCCAAGTAGGTGCTTTAGACCACTGAGCCATCTCTCCAGCCCCCTAGACAGGGCTTTTTTTTGGAGGCAGCTGCATCTAGAGTTGTAATTGATTCATAGTGCAATGCTGGGAATAAGGGAGATGGGACTAAGGGTAAGTGATTGCTGGATCAGTCCACTGATTGGACTGGCACCGCCCTAATCCCAACAATCTGGATAAGATAAAAGGGGCCAAAAGAGGCTTGTTTCCCCTTCTGCTCCTGTTGTTTCTGCTGTCTTCTGCTACCATGACAGATTGCCCCTCTGCCATACCCCTCTGCCTGTCTTGGAACCAGCCAATTATTGACTGAAACTGCTAAGAATTGTGAGCTGTGTAAATTTTTTCCTCTTTAACTTTTGGCGTTGGGTATTTTGTCTCAGCTACAAGAGAAAAGTAACTAAGACACTTGGCACTCCTTCTCCTGGTAAAGTCTAACCAGAAGCTTTCCTGACCCCACATTTCTTATGTTCTACGCACTAGCGACACCACCATCATGCGGATGATGCTGACCACAGCTACAGTGGCCTCTGAGTGCCTAGATAGCTGAGCATGGTGAAACGAATCCCAGGGAACCAATTCCTAGAGTGTCCTTTTAAAACCGGGGCCCTGGGACCTTCTTCTCAAATGAAAGGTTGACATTTTTATTTCACCTTGGAGCCTGTAGTGAGTGAAACCTTGCTGATTTCTTAAATGTCTTCAAGGCATCTTTCTTCCTGCCCTTGTATGAAGTACCTGGTTTCTTTTAAATTATGCTAAGCTCCACCCACCACAACTACTTGATAAGTGGGCCAAAATCTAAGATTTTCAAATTTTTCTGTTTTGTTTTTATTTGCAGTTCTCATCATAAATCTGGCTAAAACAGCTAGCAGTTTGCATGTTGGAGTCTTGACATTGCCTTGCCTTGGAATTTCCCCCACCAGATAGCCCACTATTCTTAATTTCAGTTTCCTGCAAAGTCTGAGGGCATGGGCAAAATGTAGACATTTTTTTTCCACAATGTAAATGGCCCCTAGTCTAACTGCCTATGAAGTCCTAGTCCCATATGAAACCTCGAGAGCTTGGCCTTAGTATCTGTATTTCTATCACAATGCTGGTCTTCTGAGCTCCTGTCAGAGCCCACAAAACTCTGCTTTATAGTGTTCTAGCCTTGTTTAGTCAAATCTTTTCAAACTCCTCCCATAAATCAATTCCAAAGTTTTTTTTTTCCTCACAAGGTCAGGTGTAATTAGTACCTATCTCTGGTACCAGTTTTTTAAGCCAGCTTCCCAGTTGCTAAACAAAATACATAACACCCACAACTTAAAGGAAAAGAGATTAGGCTCCAATTCCAGGGGGTTTAGTCCATAGCCACTTGGTTCCAAGGCAGGAAGATAAGGGTGCAGCAGAGCAAAGCTGCATAGTTCACAGCAGCAGGAACCAGGCAAGGAAACACCACCAGAGAGTAAAGGCCTAGGAACCTTATAGTTCTCTTTATATTTTTGTACTTTTTGTATTTCAGGGAAGGGTCTACAGGGTGTTCAGAGTCTCACTACTAGATCAGACTCGTAGTGATCTGCCTGTTTACAGCCTCCCAAGAGCTGGGGTTACAGGCGCTTGTCACCACATCGTCTCAATTGCCGTCACAGCGCACCCCGGGGGCAGGGCCAGCACAGCAGGCCCAGGGACCAAAATTCAGGTCCCTGTGCCTGCTTGCAGGTACTTCAATCCCCTGAGCTATTTGGCTGGCCTGGAACCTTATAGTTCTGTTACCGGTTATATCTAAAATGTCCCTTAAAATCTCACATGTGTGGAAGGCGACTGAATCATGAGGGTGCCATAGTCTTTAGCGGATGCATCCATTGGTGAGATCAGTAACTGAGTATGCTGTTAGGAAAGGGGCCTTGTTGGAGGTGGGTTCCTGGAGGGCACGACCTAGAAGAAAAGTGTGCTGCTCCTCTCTTCTCTCTCCTGGCTGCCTGGGGTGAACCTCTTCCTTGTGCCACGCCCTTCCTCCCTGGTGCTTCTGCTGTGCAGCCGTCCAACCGTGGCCCGAAATCAGGAGACAAAATAGCCCTCTCCTCCTTTAAGTCACAGTGTGAGTGCTGGGTATTTTGTCAGCGTGGGCATGCTGACTAATATAGTACCAACAGGCACACCTCCCCGACCCACACAAACACTCAGAAGTATGCTTTACTAATCTTGAGGGCATTTTTAAAAATTGAATTCGTGTTTTCTTTTTGTTTTTGTTGGCACTGAGGATTGAACTCATGCCCTCGCACTACTAGGCAGGCACTTTGACCACTGAGCTAGGGAGATACCCGCTGAGGGCATTTCTTAATTGAGTTGTCATTATCACAATTAATAAGTACAGGGATTGTTCTATTTATTTTTGATAACTTACAGGAACTGGGTAAAAGAAATTATTTATTTTAATGGAATCTCCTTGAATATGACATGCAGATTTTATAGACTAAGAATCCTAAGTAAGCCTTATGTCTTCAGGTACTGGCTGTGAGGTCACAATTCTTACATCCATATTTTGCTATACAAGCACAGTTTTTGAAAAGCTAATTCTTGAGAACAATTCTGTATTAAAGTAAGTCATTCAAAATCTGACAACCTCTTATCTTTCAGCCTGCAAAGTCTTTTGCCATGCTATTATGGGCTACTGGACTCTTTTAGAATATTTTGCTGAGTTTACACACCTATAATATTCAGTAACGGAACTTAGGACAAATGGGGTATACCTATGAATGTCCATTTTGTATCTGTGTATTCAAAGTGGTTGGGGTAGATATATAGTTGCATTGTCTTAATGAATAGAATGATTTGTTCTAATGGTGTTTGTAAATAGGATCACAAGTCTGCATCTTGTACAGCAATTAACCACTAAAAAGAATATATGTAGTGCGTTATTTGTTGAAACTGTACTTCCGATTTGATTTGAAACTGTCTCATTGTTATATGTTTATCAATAAAACTTTGAAAAGAAAAAAAAAGTCTTTTGCCAAACTTGTAAACACCATTAGTTCATGTGAAGTTCATTAGGTGAGGGCAAGGAGCCTGGCTGCCTGCAGCTTATCAGGAGAGTGTTGTGGTTTAATCTCATTCACATCATATTATTTCTGCATCTGAACTGATCTAAACTTGGCTGTTTGTTCAGACTGGCAACCACTGAGTCAAACTGATATGCAGAACAGTTTCTCACAAAATGCCCCAATTTTGTCCATATATGAAGGATAACAATGAGTTATGAGCAGTGAGTGACATCTATCCAGAGGTTCTGCAGGACAAAGCTTTATTCAAAGGATGATGTAGTGTCATGGAGGGCGGGATTCTGAGTGAGAGGCAGGTTACCATTGTGTACCCACCACTCATTGTGTTAGCTCCAGAATTGTGCCTATGGCCCCAGAGAATGCTACCACCCCATGTCATTCCTACTGATCAGCTCAGGAAAGCCTGTCCCAGCCCGATAAAAGTAATCAAGAGGTGAAGGGCTCCAATGTGTAAAACCTCTATAAGTGATTCTCAACTCAACTGAAAAATATTCAATGAAAATCTGCCACCTATGCTGAGAATAAAATATTTTTAATTTCCAAACTCTTAAAATGATTCAAAGATAAGACTCAAAGGAACAAGGAGGACCTACAAAAAGACAAAAATTAAAAAGGAAAGAATGTCCTACCAATTTGGTTTGAAACTGTCTCATTGCTATTTGTTTTTCATTAAATTATGAATAAATAAATAAATAAATAAATAAATAAATAAATAAATAAATAAATAAAAGAAAGGAAAGAATGCCAGAGAGAGGGGACGGAGGGGAACAGAGAGAGGCAAAGGGCAGTTGCCATGGAGAGCTGGGTCCAGTGACTTCCTGTGGCCCCTTCTTTCCTCTCCTGTACCAGGGAACTTGAGCAGCTGTAATCACAACATCAGTGCAAACTTATTCAAGATCTCAAAAAATTGCCCACTGGAGTGGAAGTAGAGTCCTTCTTTGTCTTTCCCTCGCCGTGATCCTAAGCTCCAAAGCTACCCAGGCTGTTCCCCCTACCAACCCCAGGCACCATGGCAACAGGGTCACATGACCCACAAACAGCCACGCCTGGCTGCAGAGCCAGCTGCTCCTCTCTGAAGGGAGCAAGGCTGTGGAGATGCACCGAGCCCCCCATCTGACTTCCCCTTGTGCCCATCGGGACTGGACGAAGGCCTACTGGGACCACCGGGCAAAGGTAGGATAATACTCTGCCTGCTTATGATTAGAATAAAAACTAAAGGCAGACTGAGGAATGGGCCAGCCTGACCTGCACTTCCTAACAGGCTTCACCGTGTTGCAGGCCCATCCACTCTCCAGCTTCAGCAGGTCTGTACAGTACTTAATTCTCACCCCCCAATCTTACGAGCAATTTAACACAGACCTAAGGGTGCTCTCCCTTACCAAAACTGCACATGCCAGCAAGCCCTAAAAGCCACTTTGTACCCCACGAGGATGTCTAAATCTGTCTCCTTGTGGCTCAGGGTAGATGCCCAGCCTGCCACACGCCCTCTGAGAGTCATAGGGTTGTTTGCTCACTCTATGTTCAGTCTATGTCTGTGTGGATCGAGGTTGGAAGCACTCCCAGGAAAGGGAGTTTGCAGCCACGTGTGATGGCACAGACCCATATTCTGTGCCTCTTGGGAAGCTGAGACAAGGAGGACGTGAGTTGGAGCCCCAGCCTCTCTAACCCCCACGCAGCACTGCTCCAGGCCTCCTGGACTCTCTGCAGGGCTGCCCTCACTATCAGAGGCCTTACTCCAAGGGAGTAAGTGATCTCAGGGAGTCACTGTCTATATGCTTTCTTTTTGGCTGTCACACCACTGTGGCAGACACACATACCCAGGATTTAACATCTGCTTTACCGCTCCATGAACAATGACCGTGCCTCACCTCTATGGCATGTCCTCCTTGTTACTTTTCTGAGTGACCACCAGGATTACACCTCAAGGATGCTGTGCTATTCTTTTTACCCTATGGACTGGAAGGTTCCCCACATGGGCAGAGAGTCAGCACCACTTGGCATAAGTGAGTGACTGGAGAGAGGTCTTAGTGGCCATTTTGAGAAACTGAGTCTGGGGCAGTAGGCTTGAGTTCAAAGGTGGTTAGGGCACACAGGCTCGTGGCATGGGTATACACGGCTCTGCAACATGTCACAGCCTGCAAGCCAGAACCCCTGGAGCCGAGGACAGCTCAGCCCAGAGAAGCCACCATTCAGCAAAGGTGCTTAAGAAAAGGATTACATATCTTCCTGGGAGGGACAGAAGTAAAGACAGATGGGTGAGCAGGGTAGAAACAGGAGGCCCCACAGGTCACAGTATGCGGTATGGACACAGGAGACCAAGAAGCTGGAGAGGAGGGAGTTGTGGGTGAAGAGGTGGTAGCTAAGGCCCAAGGCAGGGAGTGCCCAGCAAGAGCAGAGCCTGGAGTCCTCTAGGGCTCTGCTGAAGGAACAGAGAGTTAGGACCTTGGGAAGGTGGGATCCAGTGGGGCTGTCACCAGGGTGCAGAGCACAGCACAGGCAGGCAGAACAGGACAGGCCCAGACCCCAAGGCCTCACTGAACAAGGAACAGAATGGGCAGGTGGAGAATTGTGAGGCTGAGCACAGGCTGGATCCACTAAAACTGAGGCTGCTCCACCTCACGTTTAACCAACAGGGTGAAAACCAGAGGGTGTGCCTGGTCTAGGGTAGCTTTGCATCCAGCTGGGCTGGGAATCCCTGAGAACATAGGGACTTGGGTGTGACAAGGAGGACACTGGGACTCTTGTGGAGCCTCCAAATCTCCCTCTAGGCCACAAAGCTCACAGCAATCAGTGCCTCAACCACAGAACTGCTCTTCCCACCTTACCACCGTGTGTAGTAGGCAGTCTGGCACTGCCACATGGAATCGCCCTGTCCTGCCATTCTGCTGTCTCTCTCAGAAATGCCTGCTTCTTTTTCATGCCACCTGGCCTCCCACCTGATAGCTTTACTGGCAGACTGGTAACTTAATTATGTAATAGTGAAAATTCACCTCAGTCCATTCCTGCCAGTATAACAAGGTACCTCAGACTGAGTAATTCACAAAAAATAAAGATCCATTGATCACAGTTCTGGAGTCAGCAAAGCCTAGGATCAGGAGCTCAGGGCCTGACAATGACTGTTTCCATGAAGGTGCCTTGTTGCGGTGTTTGTCCTCACAGGTTGAAGGGGAGAGAAGCCAGGAAGCTTCTTTTGTAAGAGCTATGACTCCCTTCATGGGGAAGGGGACACAGGACTTTCTCACTATCCAAAAGTCTTAGCTTCATAAGACCACCACAGGGAAACTGAGTTTCCTCATGAATCACAAAAGGACTTTCAGGACAGCCAAACCCTAATAACCTCCCTAAGTCAAGAAAACAAAGACTAGGAGGAAAACCCCCACTGGATCATTGTATCCAAGCACTGGGAGGTAACTACAAAAGCTGTAACAGGTAGCAGAGGAGGAAGCTGAAAGAAACAATAAATTAAAATTTTCCTGAGACTGCCACCAGACCCTAAAACACAGATCCAAGAAGCTCAAAATGATCAAAAAGGCAAATGTCCAATATGTACAGCATTTTCAAACCACAGAAAAATCAAAGATAAAGAACCATCCTAAAAGAAGCCAGAGGAAAAATCCTGATCCATAAAAGGACACAATTTAAAATTAATCACGGTTTCTCAGAAACCATGCAAGCAAGGATGTACTTAAAATGTTGAGGGGAGTGGGGAAAACAATTAGAATTCTATACCCTGAAAAAATTATCATTTAAAAATGAAGAACAAAACTTCAGAAAAACTGAAGGAATTGTATAGCAGCAGGCCTGCTTAGCAAAAAGCATTAAAAGTTCTCCAGAAAAAAAGAGGATGATACAGGTCAGAAGCTTGGTCTACATGAAAAAAGGAGCAAGCATTAGAGAAGAAACCAAATCAATTCCTTCAAGGCACAACCTGCCAAAATTTACACAAGAACAATTAAATTATCTGAATATGCCTATATCTAATAAAGAAATTTCATCAATAATTAATCTTCTAAAACAGGAAGCTATGGGCCCAGAGGGGCTGATTGGTAAATTCTGCCAAAATTTTTTAAAAATTTATTTATTTACTTATTGTTTGTATTTTAGGGAAGGGTTTACAGGGTGTTCAGTGTCTCACTACTAGATTGGACTCATAGTGATCCACACCTGTTTACAGCCTCCCAAGAGTTGGGATTACAGGCGCACCACCATACCCAGTCTTAATTGCCAGTTTCAGCGGCCAGCATGGCAGGCCTGGGGATCAAACCCCTGGCCCCTGCACCTGCTTGAAGGTGCTTTAATCTGCTGAGTTATTTAGCTGGCTTCTGCCAAATTTTATACAAGAAATTATGCTAGTTCTCTATAATTTCTTTCAAAGTGTAGGAGCAGAGGGAGTACTTCCTAACTTATTCTATGAGGTTAGCAATACCTTGTAACCAAACCCATTACAAGACAATTACAGGCCAATATATCTCAGGAACATAGATGTAAAAATTTTCAACAAAACATTAGCAAGTTTCAATCAACACTGCATTAAAATAAACACTTCAACCAAGTGGGATATATCCAGGTATGCAAGCCTGAGTTTTCATTCATAAACCTACATAACGCATCATAACAAGCTAAAAAAATGGGGAGAAAAATACATGATCACATCAGATAATAACGAGAGTCATGTCAGATGTAGGGAGAGTATTTAACAAAATCTAATACCTAGTCCAAAAAACTCAATATACTTAGAATAGAGGGGAACTTCCTCAATTTGAGTAAGACAAAAGATCTGCAGCTAACATCATACTCAATAGCAAGAAACTAACATCTTTCTCCTGGGATCAGAAACACAGCAAGGATGGCCTCTCTCACGAGTCCACTTAAACATTCTGCTGGAAGTTCTATGCCATCACTCAAGAAAAGGAAAAAGCACATTCATTGGGAAGAAGGAAATAAAATTGTCTTGGTTTGCCAATTACTTAGTTGCCTATTTTTAAAATCACAAAGAATCAACAAAATCTTCTGAAAGTAATAAGCAACTAAATGAGTATAAAGTTACTAGATAAAAAATCAATTGCTAATATCCAGATATGCTGGTGCATGCCTGTACCAGCACTCAGGAGGCTGAAGAAGGAAGACTGGCATGTTAGGTTTTTCCAGCATGGCAGAGAAGCAGAAGAGGAAAGGGAGGCTTTACTGATTCTGAGAACACAGAGACGGTTTGAGGGAGATGGGGGAGTCCTCTGACCTGAGACAAAGGAAAGTTGACATTTTTATGGACCTTCGGTAGGGACAGAATTTGAGGGGCAGGTTCGGTGACATCTAAGGAGCTGACTGGGGACTCCCTTGTGGCAAGGGAAAGGTAGAAGGAAGTGGTATTCAGGGCTGGGGATGAAGGAGGAGTTGGTCCCTGGGAGGACAAGCTATTGTTTTTGGAATTCAGCCATGTTGAATCAGGACCATAATAATTTAGCAATTCATACTCAGGCTGGAACCTATCAGGCATGAGTTCTAGGTCAGCCTGGGCTACAGAGTGAGTTCAAATTCAGCCTAAACTACATATCAAAACCATTTCACAAAACAAAATTAAACAAAAATAATTTCTTTCATACATACCAGCAATGAACAGCTGGAAATTGAAATTTTAAAAATAGCTGCTTTCAAAAAATGAAACACTTATGTATAAGTCTAACAAAATACATGGAAGAGATCTATATGAGAAAATGAATAATGAGGTTTTTTTTCAAAGTGAAGATAAAATGGGAGATGCTGTTTACAATAGTAACAAAGAGACTAAAACACCCAGACAGAAACTTAGTGAGAAGTGCTTAAGTCTGTAGTAAGGCTGTAGGAAAACACATGCTCCAACTAAACTCTCCTAGCACAACCTTGTGACCCCAGATATGTGAAGGCTTCCCACCAAAAACCAGCTCTGCCATGATCCTCCAGCAGACACAAGCTGAGCTTCCTATAACTCGATTTAGTTCCTGCTGCCCTCCACCAGGAGCCAGCGTCAGATCCGCAGGCTGAGGGCTATACCTAACCTTTCACAGCCCTCCTTTTGGGGTTTTTATGGGGGCTTCCTGATGGAGGAACGCCTGACAGAATCATTGACCCTAAGTGATCAGTTTAGTTCAGCCGTTCTCTCCTCTGGGAGGTTTGGGGTGGCAATGAAATTCCAGCCC